GGCAAGAGCCATTATTCGTCCTGTGAAGACTGGACTGGACTGGACTGGACCTGACCTGACGTGACTTCATGACCTTGAAAACCGCGGATCGTTAAATTGTTTCGATACGAGATATTTAATAACGTTCGGTTTTCACATGGAGGTTTGTGGCTTTTGCCAGTCGAACAGCTATATTCGTGTATTTTTAGCGGGCTACTCAGGCTTCCAACGGAAAGTGCACTTTGTTTCATGCTTTTCGAATTTTTATCATGGTAGATAAGTTTTGCTTTTTCAATCTTTAGTTAGCCTATATCAGTGTAGTAGCACAATTAGGGTGTTTATTTAAGCTTTGCTACGTTTGACTCGTAGTATGTTAACCGTTTTTGTCATTTTTGAGCGTCGTGTTTCGTGCACCTTGTTCATTGTCAACCTCTCTGGCGGTAACATTTAATTGTTTTCCGATTGTCATACCCATTTTTGTCTTATCCATGCTTGGATGTATCGTGTAATAGACTGGTGGTTATAGAATGCAGCATTTGCGAGCATCGAGCACACACAACTTGCTCAAAGCTCTCAAGCGAGCTATTCAAACTATACAGCAATTACGTAGATCTTCTGTGGATCTGCCAAGGGTGCCGAAAGGTTGCGAAATCTGCATTAAAAGGCAGCCAGAACTCCTCGGATAATGGTGGTGACATGCAAGCGCAAACACTATGCGTAAGCGAGTCGTCACTCAAATCACCACCGTATCAGCCTACCAGCGCTACTCGGAAAACACCACCCAACCATGAAGGTAAATCGTCGCTTCGGAGGAGCCCTTTAGATCACTCGACACCCAGGACCCACACCGCGAGTCCGAAAAAGACTCGCAACAGCAATCAGCCTGAACGAGCCATACCCGAACCAAGCAGAGTAGAAAAGAGACGACAGTGTCAATCAACAGTTGTCCCTCAGAAACAAACTGTTGTGAAACAACAAAACAACAGTTCCATAAAATCAACCGAGCCTGGTTTAACTCATCAGCCGACTCAACGTGCTGGACAATTCAATCGAAGACAAATCCTAAAGGGATCGGGGAAAACAGAACCCCAAGCCCCAAAAGGACAACCGCAAAGTAAATCGGCGACTCAGGTTTTCAGACGGGTGCTCCACCTGCTGGTTTCAAGGCAGCTATCTCTCTACTCGAAAAACAAGATGTTAGAATTGAGAACTTGGCTCGCCACATGCAAAGGCTACTCATAGAGATCCAGAGGCTTCACGCGTCCAACGAGTCCACCTTAGGCAGGACGCGCAACGTGATAATCCACGTTCCAGAGCCAGTCATCTCCAACACCGCTCAACGGATCGCCGTAGAGAAAACACTCATTCTGAGTGTGCTGCGCTACACTGGTTGTCACCCCGAAATGACTTGGAAGCGAGCACACAGGCTGGGAAAATGGGTCCCACCAAAACAGGATAGCCTCCCTACCAGTCGACCGCTGCTCGTGGAACTCCACATTGCAAAAGAACGAGACTTTCTCCTATCCAAGGCGTCAGTCATCGCTAGCACAATGACCAACATCAAAATCAGGGCAGACAACCTCACCCGCAAAGCGGTCATCTCGGGTCCTCACTACCCCCTGGACACCCCGGTAGTAACCTCCGTGAAAATCCCACAACAACTGCAAAGAACCCGGTTCCTGGACCACATTCCAGAAAACGGAGAACCTCCTACGAGGATTACTCCACCGACGTAACGACCACCAAACAGCGCAACCACCGGCAGATCCTCTCCTTTGTGATGATAAACGTTTGCAGCATCCTAAACAAGAGAGATGAGGTGACTGATACTCTCGGCACCGTTAATCTGTGCGTCCTCACGGAAACGGTTGCGCG